ATCCTGTTACCCAGCACTCAAAGTAGTACAGATGAAGGCTAGGAAGGTAGGAAATGTAAAGAAATTAGAGAGAAATGGTTACAAGATAGAAAGCTATTATTTGGTAACTGTTCAGAAATACTGTAGCTTTTCCCTAGCCTGCTAAGGGCATGTTAAACTGATTTTATTTACCTAAAACAAAGTACCATAAACATAGCTGAAAAACAAAAGTAACAAAATCATTGGCCAGTGTGTTCCAGTTGTAAATTCTCGCACTCAAACAGCTCTCATTTGTGAACAGTAATGTCTGGCATTTAACCTGAGTTTCACTGGATAACAGGTAGTAACTTTTCTGAGAAAAGATAAATTCCAATATTTGAAATACAGAGATTTGAAAATTGTTAAGGGACAATAGAATCTATCTTATTCTTAGGAATTAGGCAACTTTTTTTTTTTTTTGGCTTTTTGGTGAGGCAATCGGAATTAAGTGACTTGCCCAGGGTCACACAGCTAGGAAGTGTCATGTATCTGAGTCCGAATTTGAACTCAGGTCCTCCTGACTCCAGGGTGGGTGCTCTATCTATTGAGCCACTTAGCTGCCCCGCAACTGTTTCTTAACTCAAGAACGTAAAAAGGCAGAGGGAGGCTGAATTCTCCTAAATCACACATAGTTACTTAGTGACCGTCTAAACCAGAATCCAGGTTCTCTGACCTCCAATCCAGGGAATGCTCTTTCCAAGCTGCCTCCTCACCCTTAAACTCATGTAGGTGAAAATATACCTGTGTGGGTATACACTTTCTGCTCCCTGTAACTCAAGGAATTGCCCTTTCCAAGAAGTAGTTTTGCAGTTCTTGAAATCACAATTATGAATATTTAGACTTCATAATGCAGAAGAAATGAGAGGCAGCATGGCATAGAACAGGTTCTTAACCTTTTTTGTATCATGGACCACTTTTGGCAGTCTGGCAAAGTCTATTGTCTCAGAAAATTCTCAGAATGTTTTTAAATTCATAAAATACAAAGGATTGCAAAGGAAACCAGTTATATTGAGATATATTATCGAAAAAAATTTTTTTTAAGCCTATATCACAGACCTCAGCTTAAGATCCTTTGGTGCAGTAGAGAGCTGGCCTTGGAAGACCTGAGTTCAGATCCCACCCCAACACATACTAGCTGTGTATGCCAGGCCAAGTCCCTTTGCTTCTCTGTGCTCCAAGCAACTGTTTATCAGCCAATCAATAAACATTTATTAAGTGCTTTCTATGTTCTAGGCACTATTCTAAGCCCTGGGGATACAAAAAGAGGCAAAAGGCAGTGCCTGCTCTCATGGAGCTTACAATCTAATGGGAGAGAGAACATGCAAACAAATTTAGACAAAGCAAGCTATACATAGGATAAATAGGAAATAATTTTAAAAAAGGAAAGCACTAGAATTAAGAAGGGTTAGGGAAAGCTAGGAATTTTGTTGGGACATAAAGGAAGCCAGGGAGGTCATAGAGTGGAGAAGTTCTGACTGCATTGTTAGACAGGAGCCTCCTTATATCAATGAAATTACAGTTCTGGCCTCTATCCCTATTCCAATATTGCAATAAGAGAACATAGCTGTGGTGGTACCAGAGTCAAAATTCAGGTAGATGTTAAACCTTCGTGGCTCTTTTTCACTTGGAATGATGATCCTAAAACAACCAGCAAGCTAGTGCTATCCATGGATTCACAAAATTGACAACCATCATAACCACGTTGCTGTTATTATTATGAAGCCAAACATACAGCATATTTTTATAAATTCCAATTTTATTCTAGAAGGAGCCACACAATTTTAAAAACTGGACATTTCAATCTGTCATGCAGATAGTATGCATTTACCACCAACGAATTCTCATCCATCCCTTCATCTATATTAGAAATCAACTGTACCCGGCTAAATCAGAGTTTCATAAAGGTTGTTCCCAAATTACCAAGCATGAGGTTATTCAGAGCTCAGTTAAAATTCATTGACTGTATGTGGTTCCATTTTTAACTAGCCCGGCTGTGCCTACATATTGTAGCACATATGGCTACATAAGATACCATGCGCAGGCCAGATACCTTTACTCTCAATCCTGAAATGGCAGAGACTCAAAAATGTCAAGGTAGGATTGAAGAATGGGGAAAATACATTGCCAGAAAATATTATTTAAATTGCACTTTGTATACTTATATTACAAAGAGAACAAATCCAATTTCATGTTTTCTACCTTATCTAGTATGTTTTAGGCACTAATTAATTAGAAAGAACCATGCAATTATTTGTGTTTGTGTGTATGTATAACTATATTCTGGTTTTAAAACTCAATACATAAAAATTTGTTATTAAAATATGCTAAATTACATGGCAACTATTGCTATTATGAAAAGATTCAGGTAAAATTTCTTTAAGTAGTATGCTCTAATAAGTACATTTAAAATAACTTCCAATTTTCAAAAGAAAAATTCATATTCCACTTTACAAGGACATATTTATTATATAAAAGTGAATTGCAACTATATTAATAATGACTAGATCAGCTACATCAATTTAACAAAGCAGTCTACTACTGAGGTTATAGTCAGAGGTCTGAGTATGGTAAAGGTAAGTTGGAAGAAGAACTCTCTTCCAGAGTCACAGATTCCATGAATAATTCCCCCATCTATTCATTCTGCCAATGGATACTCTTCATCACTAGAAGAAGCAGGTGAAATTGTGTGAAGATGGCTTCAATGCAAACCTGTCAATGCTCCTGGAAAAACAATCTAAGTACAAATCAGAGACTTTTTTTTTTTTGGTGGACAGCAGAATTCATGAACATCATCATCTTCCTAATTTAAGCCACAAATGAGAAATCTTTGACTTGTAGGCAGACCATTTAATGTAATGCATGTTTTTAAAACACCCTAAAGGAAGTCCAACTGCATATCTACATGTCAATATGATCCAGTTTCTGTGACTGATGGATGAAAACAGCTGCCTCCTTTGTAAGTTACACATTAAATCATGAGTTTGTGCTTTAAAATAAATAAACAACATGTTCATGAAGAGGAAAAATGAATTTCTAGTTTTCAACTTTCCCAGATGTCAAAAATGGATTGCATTTAAGGACAAAACTTGTTTCCACAGTTAGGAAAAAAAGGCTACTTTTTTTTCTTCACATAATGAACAATCTGGAATCAGTATAGAGAAGAAGCCAAGAACATGCAGATGTCTGCACTCAAGTCGTTTTCCTGGCACGCTTTTGTTCTCCAAGAAATAAGAGCACACATCTTTCTACAAATGCAGTAGCTGACTACTCAGATGTGAGCACATTGCTGCTATGACAAACCTTGATTATCCAAAAGATTACTAAGGTGGGTATACATTCATCTTTAATGCCATAATCAATAAACTGTAAATACAGCTACATTTTCAGTTACGTTTCAGCACCTATTGGGACTAAGTATGTATATTTCAGATTACATTATTTTAAAAACAAGGGGTTTTTTTCCAGTAGGCATTCCAGTAGGCATTTCAATTTCTTTATTTTGATAATTGCCTCAGTTCTCATAGTATGCATCATTTTGCCCGTTTGAAAATACAAATTACAAACATCACATCAACAGATTTTTCATGGAATAAGCAACTTTGGAATAACAAATTTTGTCATCCTAAACAATTTTTTCAAAGTACCTCCCAGGATACCATGACAAAGCTGTCTTTTTTATAAATGGTGGGGGGCAAAGAGGATCAAGGAAGAATCCTAATTGCTTCACTATCCTGTGACCTAAGAAATTAAAATCTCTCTGTAGTCTTTTGGAAAAACACTTCCATGGACCCCACTACATTTCAATAATCTTAGGAGAAAACACCACCCGGAAAATCTACCTTAGAAGTAAAAACTGAAAACATGGAACAGGTTTTAAGTTTAGTTTTGATAAATTACAAATATATGTGTGTGTGTATATATATATATATGTACATACACACACAAATACTATCAACATGAAAATATAGTTTAAGTTTACATTTTAATTCAAAATAATTATGGCTATCAAACTAAACTATCTGGAAATTCATCATTACCAAGTCAGTTACTCCTTTTAAGGAGCCTATCTCAGAACTGGTCTGCAGTGCTGGAGATCTCCAAAATTAGTCAGTACCTATCCCACATGGAAATATATTTAACATTCAGGTAGGCACCTTGGGTAATAAATACAACTACTGAGAAGCCAAGTGGGGCCAAAAGCCAAGAAGATACTAGAGAAAAAGGGGGAGGGTGAGGAAACAAGTTCGTAAAATCAACACCAGGACCAAATGATTTGAAGTGTCTTTCTTTCTCCCTTCCCATGCGTTAGTCCCGCTCTATTAGAATTAGATGTGTAGTAGCCAAGCATTCCCAATGAAATTCCGCCTCCTAGTGCTACAGTTGAAGCAACATACAGGGCGCCCTGGTTGGGCAGGAGGGGGAACAGTAAGAACCTATCCGAGCTGAGTCCAATATATGCCCATCAGCAGCTTTTCACCTTTTGTTTCCCTCTCCTCCAGAAGAGAAGGTAGCAGTACCAAGAAGATCCAAAGATAACAACCTGCACTTCCGTTAGGAAGCTGAGTCCCTTTTTTGGCATCCTTTGGTCAAAGAACTGATGAGCAAGTAAGAACCTCTCTTCCCTTAAATCGGGATGCAGTTAAGTGTCCACTCTCCTGCTCTCTACACAAAGGCTCTGGGATGCCGGGGTCACTGGGTGACAGGGAACGAGAAAAAGGAAGATGCCTTGCTCTACAGAGTGTGGATAAGGAGGACGGCAGCTGCACCAGGATGTGTGCTAGGGAGCGGGTGACTGAGAGTCTGTGTGTGTATGTGTGTGCATGTGTGTCTACGTGTGTATGTGTATGTGTAAGAAAGAAGGGCAGAGATAGAGGGAGACAGGGGGAAGGAGGCAGAGACATACGTGTGTGTGTGTGTGTGTGTGTGTGTGTGTGTGTGCGCGCGTGCAGGGGGAGGGGAGGAAGCCGTCCAACCCTTCTTACCTTTCAAAGACCAGCCTGACCATGAAGATGAAGAAGGCCAAGGGGAAGGCGAGATAGAGATCTTCAGCCTGGGGAAAGGTGGCTTCTTCTGTATTCTTCAGATCTGCCCAGGTGACATTGTGGGGGAGCCAGAACCTCTCGTTCCAGAACCAGGCTAAGATCCCTGCCATCTTGCTTTGTCCAGCCTTGTCCTGCAGATCTCGCTGCAGCGGCCGGGCTCCTTGCAATGTCCTGGTGATAGAGGAGGGCGGGGATGTAGGTTCCTCTGTCCCTTGGAGCCTCCGCAGCCGGGACCGCGTCTGCTCCTCAGCTGCCTCTGCCACCGCAGCTGCTGCCGCCGCCGCCGCTGCTGCTGGCGATGGCTCGAGCTCCTTCTGAGCCCTGGCTCTCGTCTCTCTCTCTCTCTGGCCGCGCTGGGGAAAGGGGCCGCCTCGCCTGTCACATGGCAGCCCGGGCTGCTAGCCCTGATTGGCTCTTCCTGCCGTCAACCAGTTCCACACACGCGGACCCACGGATGCTCCCCCACACCCCTGAGGAAAGGCGCAGCCGCTGCGCTCTGGGGTGCAGCGGACACTGTAGGGATCCCTAGAACAGGCAGCAGGCCAGCGCCCGCACGTCACTCCTCCGGCCCTGGAGAACTGAGCGTTTTACCTGTGAAAGATCCCTAAAAGCTGTCCTGGCCAGTGTGCATGCTCGCACATGCTCAGTGAAAGGAGTCCTGCCCCACTGGAGTTCCAGAATGAGAACTCTATACTTTCCCCCAATTAGTGGTGGCCGCCAAAGACGACTGGCGGGATGCGGAGAAACGCCGCCGCGGCAGTTTGGAATCGAATCTTGGACTGCAGATAAGCGCAAAAAAGAAGGCTGGAGTTGATGTAAAAAGAAAGGGGGGGGGAGGAAAGAGTGAGCCACGTTCCTGCTTGAAATAAGAAGAGAAAACAGAGCTGGTGGCAAGAACGGAGTTCCTCCCGCCCCCGCATTTCACCTCTGGTTCTCTTGCACCACCCCTCACCCAGAGTTCTTGTTTCTTACGCTTGATGTTTTAAGCTCACATGCTCCAAAAAACGCTTTTTTCGAGAATGGTAGTGATGATGAATGCTGACAAACATCAGCATTTTGTACCCACTCTCAGAAGCTAGTGAGTGCTCAGACTAAAATTCTGGCTTCCTGCCTCATTGGTAACCTCATCAATTCTGCCTTCAAAAGTTAGAGCACAAGGGACAGTGGCCCCTGGGCAGGAGAGGATCATTCAAAAATTAATTCCACAAATAGTAAGTGGGAAGAAAGTCTAGAAACTGTAGAAAGTGTAGAAAAGTCTAGAAAGTGTAGAAACAGCAGTGGATTTGGTGTAGATAGAGGAGGACTTGGGTTCAAATCCCAGTTCTGTTACTGTGTGACCTTGGGCAAAGTTATTTAGGGCACTAGTCTTGGAGTCTGGGAGACGGGTTCCAATCGTATCTCAGACACTTATTCCGTTTGTCACCCTGGGCAAGTCACTTAACCTTGCTGTATCTCATTATCATCATTATGAAGGAGTTAGCTTCTAAGGGGTCCATTTCTAAATCTATGACCCTTTCTGGTTCTCAGTTTCCTCCAAGAATATAAAGAAGGGTTTTAACTAAAAATCTTATGGAGCATCCTGTGTGCAAAGAGCTTCTCCAAGGCACTGGGGAAAATACAAAGAAAAAAAAAGAAGAAATGTGTAAGGCTTTATGCAACACCCTTCGGCAAGTTTTTGGATGTTAGTTTCTTCCTCTCTCAAATAATATCACAGATGTAGAGGTGAATGGAACCTCAGGGGCCATTTTGGACAAAGTTCTGATTTTACATTAAGGAACCTGGAGATCTAACCCTTGGAAGTGGGATTTGAACCCAAGTCCTATGACTCCAGAGCGGCTAGGTGGAACAGTGGATAGAGCACTGACTAGGCTTGGGGTCAGGACATATTCTCTGAGTTCAAATTTGGCTTCAGACACTTACTAGCTGTATGACCCTGGACAAGTCGCTGAACACTGTTTGCCTCAGTTCCTCTTCTGTAAAATTAGCTGGAGAAGGAAATGGTAAACCACTCTAGTATCTTTGCTAAGAAAACCCAAAATGGGGGTCACAGAGAGTCCTATTTGACTGAACAACAACAACTTAGGACTTGAGGGTCCATTCCCACTGTAACATGGGTTGAACTAGAAAATCTTTAAGATACTTTATATGTTTAAATCCATAAAACAATTGAAATACAAGTTAGAATGAGATAAATGCATAGAAGGAGTTAAACAGACATACATATGAGAAATTTTAAGAGAGATCAGTTATAGCTATGGAGATTTGGGAAAGATGGCACGTTGTCTGGGTCTTGAATATAGGGGAAAATTTTCAACAGGCTGAAATGTAGATGGAGTCCATTTTAGGTTTGGAAATCCATATATGTAGATGCACAAAGGTAGAGGAAAATAAGATTGAAGAATCGTTAGTAGCCTAGATCAATTGGAGTACAGTATACATGATGTGAAGTTAGTGTTCTGATGTAAAGATTGGTGCCTAGAACCTGAAGGCCAGGTATGTTACATTTCACCCCTTTCTCCAGGATTCTTGGTAGCTTTGAGGGGGTTGGCAATTCGGGGAATTCTTGGGCTCTGACAATGACTCCAGTCCCCACAGTGGTATTCCCTCACCAATCAGGGATTGGGCCCCTGCATCCCAGTTCCATTTAACTACTAACTTAGCTTTTAGAAAGGAATATTTACTTCAAGAAGTATAATCACAGGGCAGCTAAGTGGCACAGCGAATAGAGCACCCGTCCTGGAGTCAGAAGGGCCTGAGCTCAAATCTGGTCTCAGACCAGATACTTGACGCTTACTACCTGTGTGACCCTGGGCAAGTCACTTAACCCCAATTGCCTCCAAAAAAAAAGTATAATCACAAATAAACAAATTTATTCCCTCAACATGAAGGCTTTAATCCTCCTCCCACCCCTTGTATCATCTCATACTCTGGGAAGGGGGAAGTAATTAGTTTCATAGATTAACTCAGTTCCTATTTAGCAGTCCTAGTCCCAAGTCCAAAACCCTCTTTGGGCTTGGCACCTAAGCACCCTGATCTCAGGGCTTTCCTGCCAAGCAAGTTCCAATATCTCACCTGGAATCTTGCTTAGTAGCTTGTCCCAGGATTTACACCTGCACCTAGAAACCGAGGACAAATAAAACAGAACAGAAACAAATATCACCAGAAGGGGAGAAAGATATGCTTGCCTTCCTGGTTCAGTTCATGGTGCCTGTGCTGTGGGTGATCTCTGATCTTTACCCTCTGGAAGCAAAAGAAAAGAGTGGGCAGGAATAAGAGAGTTACTGTTCCAATTTGGAAATTTTTAAAGATGCGGCCTGTTCCAGCTACACAGCCAGTCAAAAAAAGTTATTCCAACCCAGACGGTAGGAGAAAATGGAGAAGGGTGCTTCCATGTTAGGAGATCTGAGCATGTTCCAAGATCCTAAGGCCCCAAGACATTGATTACTAAATGCCATACTGAAGCAGACAAAAGATCCATTCAGGCTAATATTCTAACTAAGGCACTACCATTTTATTCAAAAGCATGGAAAAGTGCCTTCTACCACCCATTCAATTAAGTAATGTGGCTAAACAATGTAGCTCTCTTGTAAGCCACTAATCTAGGAAAGCTTTTGGGCAAAGGCAGTTTTTAAGAGCTCTTCAAATTATGGAGTTTGTAGGTCAATAAAAAAAAGTATGTTCTAGAGAAAGACAGGCCTCAGTCTGATACTTTGGTGGTACCTCAACATTGGCATTGATGTTCATTCAGAGTCTAGCAGAGGTCAAACCACATTGATCAAGGAGAACTTCGTCCTAGGAATTCCAAATTTGCCAAGGCCAAAGGAAGTTGTTTTCTCCCTGTACAACCCAACAGTCCAAAGGGATTTGCCAATCCCTTTTCAGGGCTGCTAGTGTACCTTTGGTGTCCACCTTCACCCAACTCTCACCTGTGGCTCCAAGAAGCTGTAGCATGGTCATTGGCCGTACCCCAGTAAATTGTCTTGGCAGATGGGCTAAACCAAGTTGAGAGTAACTGACAGGCCTCAAACCTGTTGGTGAGTTGGGGGGGTGTCTACCTCAAGCATGTGAAGACTTCCCCTGGTGGAATGGGCAGATGTGAACAATTTGTTCTGCCTGGCCATGAAGGGGGTTGAAGCAGGAGCTGTGGAGTGCTTAGAGCTTGGTCAGACAATGAAAATGCCAAGGTCATCCACTGCATCCTGAGCTGCTGCTGGTCATGCTGACTTTTGTCCTGCCACCAAATTTTGATGATTTAGGAAGAGAGAGAGACAGAGACAAAGACACAGAGAGAGAGATTGAGAGATTGGTGGAGGACTTTACCCAACTCTGCCTCAATTAAATCTAATTCACAGGCAAGTCTAGACATTGTCATTGGTCTTCTTCAAAAATGAAGGACAAACAAGTAGGAGCTGATGGAATTTTTCCAAAATGTAAAATTGACTACTGCAATATATATCACAAGATAGTGGTTATGTTGCATTTTAATATGAAACATGTCAATATTTTTAAAAATAATTAGCTTTTCCATTTTTTAAAAGTTTCTAGCATTTGTTCAAATCTGGCCTCAGACAGATAACATTCACTAGCTGTGTGACTCTGGGCAAGTCACTTAACCCCAATTGCCTCACCAAAAAAAAAAAACCTCTTTTGGTTCACTTTATAACTCTACTGGGTAGGGCATTTTATTTCCCAAACAACAGGGAGACATAGGATCATGGGAACATAAAAATGTTAAAACTTGAAGGGACCTTAGATCAATCAGCTCAACTCCCTCATTTTAACCATGAGGAAACTGAGGTCCACAGAGGTGAAGTGACTTACCTGAAGTTATTTCAGATAGTAAAGACCAGAGGCAGGATTCAAACCCAGGTTCTTTGACTCCAAATCTAAGACTCTTTCCATCACCAATCCTATTCTTTTATACCAGTTTCAGATTTGAAAATGTCTATATTTAATGGATTCTTCAAAGTTTTTCAAGTGGAGCACAAGCTCTGGACATATCTACCAAACTGAGAAGGCTTAACACAGAACATAGTGACAATAAATGCTTTTTGATTGATTGATTGAAAACCATCAAGTATGTCTCCAGGACATGTCTCCAAGGAACGGCCTAGTTAAATTGGGAGCACTTCATCGCTAGGTTTGCCACCAATGCCACCAACCATTGACTAAGTCATAACAGAGTTATCACCTCTGTCAGTAGAAGGAATATGCATATCACTGTCTTTAGTCAATGACCTTAATCGGGT